CAGCGCTCACTGGCTGAGCGCGGTGCGGCCGGTCTCAAAAAGGACAAAAAAAAAAAAAAGTCCTTTGTGATAACATTTTTCAGAGATAAGCATTATGGAAAGTGTTATTGTAATAACATATATGATAAAAAAATGTTAAAACTACTTGGAAATGCTTTTTTCTTTTAGCAAATCCTGCGTATCATTCCATGAGTACATACTCATCAAATTCACTCATCACTTCTTTTAATGACTGCATAGAATGTACTGTAATGTCCTTTTATTTATAAATGTTTATATTATTTCCAGCTTTCCTTATTAAAAATATTACATTAAATGTATTGTGTCTTAATATATCTCCAGCAGTACAGGTTACAGTTTGTTGTTTCAATACACTCACATATTGTATAATGGTCCAGTCAGAATAGTTAGCATATCTATCCCCTAAACATTTATCACTTCTTTGTGGTTGTAACATTCAAGATCCTCTTTTCTGGCTATCTTGAAATATAAAATGCAATATTATTAGCTATTGTTACCCTATGGCACCAAAACTTATTCTTCCTATCTAACTGTAACTTTGTACCAGTCTACCAGGTCTTTAAATATAATTTTTCTTTATTAGTTTGAATGGGATTTTTTTTCCATTTCAATTTCTAATGAGTTACTGTTCATACGTACTAAAAATAGCTTTTGGTTTTGGTATATACATATATTTAAGTTTTAGTATGCTATCACAGAATTTAACATGGTATTTGTTCTTGGCTTTGGCAAACAACCTTGAGCAGGTTTAGGTAATTACCTCTACTTTAGTCTTATCTAGAGTTTTTATTAAGAGTAGATGCTAAATTTAACTAAGTGTTTTTGGTATATTTACACAAACTCTTTTGAAAAAAACCCTTCAATTTATAAAATAATTGATTATTCTAATAAATTTCCTAATATTGACTCATTCTTGAATTCCTATAAGAATCTAACATGTTATGGTATATTCTTACTTTAACACCTTACTGAATTTGATATGCTAATATTTTATAAGAATTTTTACATATGAAAATATTTTTTAAAGTACTATTGGTCTATGGTTTTCCATTTTGGTACTATTTTCATTGGGTTTTGGTTTAAAGATAGTAAAGCACAGTGGTTATGAGCTCAGGCACTGGAGCCAAAATGTCTAGTTGAAATCCCAGATATAATGATAGTTAAATCATCTTGGGCGAGTTCCTCAAGATCTTTGTGTTGCACTTTCCTCCTCTGTACAGCCTCATAAGACCGTTATGAGAATTGAGTTAATATGTGTAAAGAAACCATTTAAAGGAGTGCTTGGCACATGGTATGCACTCTATGAGAGTTAAGTAAAATATATAAATGCTACCTTTCCTAAAATGAATTGAGGAGTTTCCTTTCTAAAAAGTCTTCTGGGGGCCAGCCCAGTGGCGCACTTGGTAGAGTGCGGCAGCGCTCCCGCCAAGGGTTCGGATCCCATATAGAGACCAGTCCACTCACTGGTTGAGCGCAGTGCGGGCGTGACACCGAGGGTTGCGATCCCGTAACCGGTCACGAAAAAAGACAAAAAGAAAAAAAAAAAGTCTTCTGGAATATATTGAACAACTCTAATTGAAGAATTAGAATTTGGCTTTTCAATTTTTCCCCCATATACATATAACACATACAATTGAAATAGCAGTACTATTTATGCTGTTTTGTAGACTTCCTTTTAATTAACACTATTACATGAGCATTTTCAATGTCATAAATAGTTTTTAAAAACCTAAGTTTTAATGGCTACACAATATACCATTAGAAGGCTATACAGAATTTTATCTAATTAGTCCCTGCTACATTTCTCAGACACCAACGTTTTATTATTACAAAAATAAGAATACTCTTATAAATAATCTTTATCTGTTTTTATGATTATTTTCATTGGATGGCTTTCTAGAAATGGGATTATTGATGTAAAGGTACAAATAATTCTAAAGCTCTAGATAAATGTTAATAATATTTTTCTAAATACTTTATGCCAATTTATGCCCCCTCCATCATGTACAAGAGTGCCTATTTTTTTTTTTTTCCTTTTTGTCTTTTTTCGTGACTGGTAACGGGATCGCAACCCTCAGTGTTGCGCCCGTACCGCGACCGGCAACGGGATCGCAACCCTCGGTGTTGCGCCCGCACCATGCTCAACCAGTGAGCGGACCGGTCTCTATATGGGATCCGAACCCTCGGCGGGAGCGCCGCCACACTCCCAAGCACCGCACTCTACAGAGTGTGCCACTGGGCCGGCCCAAGAGTGCCTATTTTAATCAATTCTAGCCAACGTGTATATTCTAAAATTACTTCTATTTATAAAAAG